TTAGTAAGGATGAGTTATGATCATATTTATTTATTTATGTCTTATTTTCTGACTGAAAGAAACCATTTTCACAAATTTAATTGCTTATATTGATATTTTTCTTTTATATCTGAAAAATTTTCTTAATATCAAATCACTCTTGTTAATTAAATTCAAATATTGACCCTAGAATAGTAAAATGTCTTAATATATTCAGCTAATCCTTTTCTTGAAATATGACTCTAAGTAAAATGTTGACAATTATAAAATATTTAAGATTAGTAATAATACTAAGTCTCATAAGTATTGGTTGATAATAACTCTAATTATTTGAAATTAGAAGCTTATTAATTGTTCTTGTATAATTATTCTTTTTTATCTTAGTAATCTTTTTGGACACTGTTTATCTAAATTACGTATTTTAAGTCAAGAGCGCGTAAGTTTAATTGGGATAATTATTACAATAAAATATACTTCTTATGTTATTAATATAAATTTTAATAGAAATAGGAAATGTAAATTAGATGTACTTAAGCAGATCATCGAAATCAATAAATAATTGGGTTTTGTATAGATAGTACATGCCAAAGCTAAAGACCTTATTGTAATTTTTGTTTGCCTCGCCATAGCTAACATCTTGAAATGTTAACATCTATAGAACTTTTGTATGAATGGATTAAGCAAGGAATCATTAAGATTAAAGATTTTGAAAAGAATGTTTAAGAATTTAAAGTAGCCCTTGATAGTCTTAATAATATGTTCCTTCCTTATCTTAACTTTAATATTTAACGATTCCCATAATTAGGAATATCAGAGATTGACAAATTAATAAAAGATTTATGTGAAATAGAAGATTATGAAAAAAATTTATTCAAATAACTTATGCAATCAATTGAATAAGGAAAATCCATTGTAAATGAAATACGTAGAAAAAAAAAGAATTAATCTAATTTTGAGTAAAATAATCATTTATAAATTCAAAACTTTAAAATTGAAAAATTGCTTTAAGATTTTCCTTTCATATTAAAACCATTTAGTTATGAATTAATAAAAGAAAATTCTATTAAGTAAAATGATGATTGTTTTGCAATTGCTCTTAATAAAAATTGTTAAATTTTAGCAGCGAGTTGTGGTAAACAAATAAAAATATATGAATTCAAGTAAGGAAAGTTGAAATTACAATAAGTCTTAAATGAACATAGAAAATGGGTTAGCACTTTAAATTTCATGAAAAAATAAAATCAATTGATATCTGGAGATGGTGATGGATCTATTATATTTTGGTCAAAAAATAATAATAATTAATGGGATTACTCATAAATAATCAAAGCACATAATGATAGTATTCGATGTTTAATATTAAATACTAATGAAGATATGATTGTATCTAGTGGAGGTGATAATTCTATTAAATTTTGGATTAAATAAAATGAATGGATCTGTTAATAAATTATCACAAATCATAATAGTTGTGTTTGTTAATTAAGTTTAAATGATTAAGAAAATATAGTTATTTCTTGTGGAATGGATAAATAAATATTAGTAATTCAATACTCTCAATAAGATTAAAAGTGGATTGTAATTGATAATATTAAAACTAAATCTTATGGAGATAGAATATGCTTTATCAACAATTAATATTTTGCATTTCAACCCTCTAGAGGCGAATAGATACATATCTATGAATTGAATAGTGTAAATAACAAGTTTGATAGAAAAAAAGATATTTTTCTAAATGAAGGTAATGATTTTAGTGGATTATTTCCATAATAATTTATTAAATCAAAATAATTACTATTGAATAAGCATTATTAATATATTTATTTAATTAGAAAGACATAAAATGATGAATTTAAAATTGAATAGTCTATTGAATTTAGTAGCACTTCTATATATGGGTATATGAGTGATGATGGAGAATATTTGATCACTTGGGATGATTCATCTAAGGAAATATAAATCAGGAAATATTAAGAAAAATGAGAATTAATATTTTGAATATTTTATGAAATACAATTTTTTTTTATTAATCCTATACATATTTAATAAAAAATAGGCATATTATTTTTAGCATTACTATTATTTTAAATTGAATTAATATATAATTCGTTAAAATGAATTTTAGCCTTAATTGATAAT